GGCCTGCATTTGGGGGAGTTGGGGCAGTGCTGGCCTCTTTGAATGAGTTGGGGAATGTTCTCTCTTCCTCAGGGTTTCTGAAGGAGTGTGTGCAGACTTGTATTATTCCTCCATCAATGTTTGGCACAACTTACCAGTGAAGTCAATTGGGGCTGGAGTTTTCTTTGTGGGAAGGGACTCCCAGCCCTTGATAAACATTTCTCCTTCCTTTTACTGACAAACCTCTTGAAAGAAGCGTCTGTCTCTCTGTCCTTTCCTCTGAGGAGCTTTCTGGAGTCTCTGGGTAGTGCAAACAACTAAGGCATGCACCTGCTCTTAACAGTAGGCTGGGTATTTGAGACCATCTGGCGGTGCCTCGGAAGAAAGACCCGGTGATCCACCTCTGCCCAGTCAGTCACTGCAAACCCTGTGGAGCATGTGTGGGAGCCAATTCAATGGCAGCGGACGGTGGTCCCGTTAATCCCTTAACTCCTGGAAATCTGGATTCAATACACACTTATTTATTTATTGTCTAAAAGCTAGGCCCCATTCCAGCTTCAAAGAATAAGGAGAACTTTTTGTTGACTTTCCTAGAATTGTTCTCACCCAGTTTGACAATGAGCCAAGTTTCGAACCTGATGCTTTCTTTCCAGTCTTTCTTCTCCTGGATTTTGGGGCCCGCCATTGGCCCGTGGTTTTCTATGCCCACTCCTTCTCAGTCTCTCCCACCAGGCTTTGCTCCCCCACCCCCTTCTCATGCTCCACACTTCCTTTCTGGGCACCGTCCTTATCCACCCGTGACTTGGCCCACCATCCATGGTCCCTGACACCTGGATTTCTGTTCCTCCTTTCTCTTTGTTCCAGAGTGACACCCCTACCCATTGTTCGGACTGTCTGTGACTACAGCTCCACCATCGTACACCACGCATCTCCCAAATCCATGGCAGTGTTTCCCCAGCCTGCAAATGTGCTCCTCCTCCTGAGTAGAGCCAGTGTCCACTGGGGAACGCAAGCTGAGGAAGCCCCAGAATCCTTTGCGCAGCCCTTCATCCATTGCCTAGTCCAGGCGATTCTACTACTTGAAGAGCTCTTGACTCCCCACCCTCTACCCCTGCCTCAGCTCAGACCCTCAGCTGATCCTCACCCCTTCCCACCTCCTCCCAGGCCCCCAGTCAGGCCTCACCCCTCCCCACCTCCACCCAGACCCCCAGTCAGGCCTCACCCCTCCCCACCTCCACCTAGACCCCCACTTGGTCTTTACTGAGGCTGCTTCAAGAGTTTTTCCAAACTCCGTTTTGCCTCTTGCCCCTCCATCCTGGCTGTGCAA